ACACACACACACACACACACACACACACACACACACACACACGAACAAACCCTCGAAAATATGCGTTTCTGCATTGCATAGCTGCAAAAAGCGCATAAAAACAGACAATAGGCTTTGTCGAACATGGCAGATAGCAGCTGAGAGCAGGAAACCAATGCTAAGAACGGAAACTGAGTTCCTCCACAATCGCCGTCAATATAGTGCCACTTACGCCTAATAATCCTCGCGAATTTTAGATAAGGAAGTGTATAGGACTATGTGAATGTATGTGTGTGTGCATATGTGTACGCTTGCGTGTGCATGGATGAGTATGTGTGTGTCTTTTCGCATTTCCAAAATTACTATACTCTATAGCAATCGTCGCGTTGTTTGCACTGGTAGCGACTATTAGGCATACGGCAATCGGGAAGTAAACTGGATGAGGGCAAAAATTAATGTTGGCACCTGTTCTCTGGGGAACACCATTGTCTTAATGCGTGCAGCACTGTGTACCAAGATTTTGAGTTTTTACCTCCAAATTCCTTCACTGATCCAGGCAATTACATCAATCAATGACTGCTTGTTGCGAAGTCGTGGCCATGCGAAATATGTTGCCATAATGGATCTTGACGAAATTGTTGTCACTTACACAGATCGGACGGTGCTTGAAATGCTCGAAAGGATGCGTAATGCGTCGAAAAATCTGGTTGCTTTTATATTTCGCAGCAGTTTTGTGCACTATAAGGTCAGCTTTTCAGAACTGTTTCTTGAGCGTTTTTTTGCTTGTAACATGCAAATAAACGTTTTGATGGTAAAAAAAATTTTTTTTAAGATCGGCTAGTGCTCTGTTATGAAGTAAACCGAGGAAATAAATGAGAAGTCTTCATAATTTACAAGAAATTGACGGCGTTCGATTAATGTAAAAACGCTGGGAGCTTGTGATGATGCGGGTTCGGTGTCCGAGGTCCAGGAGTAAGAGGTACTGAAGCTGATCAGACTAGAAGTTTGAAAATTGTCGAAAATTTGAAAAGGACAATAAATTAAAAGGCTTCGAAAGGCGAGGGGCGGGTTCATTCGCCATCTTTGTTGTTTATGGTTACTGTAGCAGCGCGCTGCCATTGACGCTGCTTATTAGTGGTATCTGTAGCAGCGCGCTGCCATTGACGCTGCTTATTAGTGGTTTCTGTAGCAGTGCGCTGCCACTCGTGCTGCTTTTAAATGGTTACTGTAGCAGTGCGCTGCTGCTCGCACTACTTTCAAAGCTCTCGCCACCCATATGAAAGCAAAAATCCGAGAAGCTTTAAAAGCAAGTTTTAAAGCAACATTTTCCAAAGAACCGATAGCGGAGGCTAATAAATAGCTGGCTAATTCTGGCTGCGTAATACAGAAGATAATAAAATCTGACTGCGTAGCAGACGATTTAGATGTCCGTGTAGTAACCCTTCCACCGCAATAAGTGTTGGGTAAGAATTATATGAATACATATAGTTTTTGACTTTGCGGGGGATCCGACACATCTAATAAAGAGGGATTTTTGGAGTAATAGTAAAAAAGAGAAATGGCAACTAGATGGAGCTTAAATAAAGACAGTATGGAGGTTTATTATATAAAAAAATTTGTAATAACCCTATGTAATACAAACAAAGAATGAAAAAAAGTAACAGGAGGGGATTGTTTTGGTTCAGTGGACGAGGTTTTGATGTTACAACGTAAAAAGTTCAAGAATGTGATAAAATGAAAGGAAGCAGCTGGGCCAGAGCATGGAATTTTTACAGAGACTGACGTTCCCTCTCAAATGGCTGACGCTGCTTTCCAGCACGTGAGAAGTGTAGCGCCAAATGTGTTTTTATTAGGAAAAACGAAGTTATTAATGCGGAAAACTGCACTGCAATTTTTAGAAACAATGGGATCACATTTCCCGGCCATCGGATATTGATTTCAGTATTTTTGCGAATCTTACGCTTGAGAATCACATTTGGGAAGTTGGCTACCGAAGCAAAGTAGGTTTTTGGTCGGTTTCCGGACAAATCTAAACCAGCGATAAAATAAATTGGGAAAGTGACTTATTCTTACCAAGTGTGAAAACAATGTGCTGTAAGACAGAGAGCCAAAAATACGGTATGCAGTTTGCTTGTAGTTGATTATGGTACCGGAATATATCTATGTGACGCATGTACATGAAGTATTAATACCATCACGACTTTCTCATGACGTTCAAAAGGTAGCCCCAGAAACTGCGCTTCTTTTTCATTTCAGGTCAGAATTTTCACGTTTTTTCCCTTCGTTTTTTTTCAAATCCATCTGAATCCCACATGCCGTATTATCCAACTGCATTACTGGGTTGAGCCATATACTGTCCCTCCCTCCCTTGTCCTCTCGCCCCTTTCTCTCCTGCTATACTACAAGAAAATTTTATAAATTTCTTGTACAATAAACTCCAGTCAGTTGTAGCTTAATCTTATTTACCCTGAACCATTCTTCATTGCTCCTGATCGCTATTACCACAAAAATTCCTTGCATGTTCACTTAGAACTTACTCTCACCGACCTTATATCTCACGCTATTTGAGAGAATAGAGCAAGCAAAAGCAGCTTAACTGATAAAAAATTGTGATCAACAATAAAATTTTGGCAAGGCTCTCGATGGCTTCGCTTTCGAAAGCTATTTTGGAAGCAAGCTGAAGGTGGTTCTGGCTTTGCAGACGTATAATGACTAATAATAAGTGGACAACTAATTCAACGGTAAGCACAAGCGCTCTAGCAAATTTCGTTGAACCGTGCAATAACTTGTGGAGGAATCGGATGAAAACAGTTGCAAGCACCCCAAATACGGAAATCCTGCATGGTGAAAGATGGCCAGATCGCGGTGCTCAGGTTGGATTTTCGCAATTTCTTTTTGCCAAACATTTTTATGTGTGTAACCTAAAAATTTTCAGGCTGAATACTGATTGATGATGCGCTAAGATTATGCAACTATGCATAGCTACGACAAAGCACGGGGCAACGTGAACTGAAGCAAAGAATTGGGCTTCAGTACCCTTCGTGCCTTTTGGCTTAGTTTACGGTACGCAGTCGGCAGCTGGAAAAATAAGGAGTTGCTTCTAAAAATCCCATGCACACAGAGAATAGTGCCACAGGATAGACTGAATCGTTTGGTAAGCGCCTGCAACGGTGGGCCGCTATCGAAGGACAAACTCAGGAACAGGAGAATCTTTCAAAAGTGACTTAGAGAATATTAGTAACAACCGGGTGGGTGATGAGCTATCTTCCTGGTGAGTTTTTTGAGAGCGTAGAACGACTTGAGCCTGCATAAGGAATTGATCTGTTTATACGTGGAATCGATTGGGAAGCAAGGGGGACTTTAATAGGGCAAAAATTTGGATAAATGTAGTCGATTTGATGCGGAAAGGTGCCAAGCGTTATTTCTGTTTGCAGAATTGTTTGAAATGCATAAATTCTAATCAGTTAATCTTCTTCTTCGCTTCTTTTGTGAGTAACTTCAATCGACTTTTGACCTGGTTTAAGGTAATCAAAGAACTCAACGGATGTGAGGAGGAACTCTTTGCCCAACAAAACAAATGTGCCTCATTTTACAGTTGTATTTCAAAAATTACCGTTGTCGGCAGGGACGAGTGGATTTTGGGAAAGCAAACTTGGACCGTTTTGTAGTATTTCTGAATAAATTTTATACGCTTCATGTTGCAAAATCGATGTGAAACACATGTTGTAGGATAATTTATGTTTGCACGCAAGTTTGAGTATATGTAAGCAACTGTTTGTTCGGATTTTTATCTGATGTATTCTGCTCAGGAACCAAAAAAGCTAGGACACTGAAGAATTAGGATGCTTTCTGCCAAAGTGCGACATCGCAAATTTCAATTTTCGCTTGGCTGAAAAATTTTCGAACTCATAAAAAACTGGACAGGCAATTAAAATTTCAAGAAGGTGTTCCCTGCCTGATCTAAAAAACGCAAATTCAGATTTCAGGCACTTTTACATCTCAAGTGTGGACAACTAGAATTGAAGGCAGGAAATTGTTGACGTTTTTCCAATTCGCGAACCAGACAAGCTAGAATGCTAAATTTTTGAATGGAGAAGTGTTAAAAACGCATGACTGCAATGATTATCCTCAGATTCGCCGATATTTATCTGCCTGATACATTACCCTTTTAGTGAATTATATTATATTCAGAAAACGGTACTGTATCGAGCAGAATTATATTGTATCCTATTGTACTGTACGTATACACGCACAACGCGTACAATATGTATGTACGTATGTACATTATTGTATGTATGTATGTATGTATGTATGTATGTATGTATGTATGTATGTATGTATGTATGTATGTAAGTGCTATGTATGTATGTACGTTAACATTATGTGTACGTGCACACATGCATCTTAGTATAACGTATTTGTGTACGCATGCATGTGTGCCTGGCTTATTTTTTTGAGGGTGATAAAAATTTGAATATATTTGAGCGCTATAGTACTAATGCTAATACTATGATAATATTATGATAAAACTTCTTGAGGGTGATAACACTAATGCGAGTGATAATATTAAAACGGGAAAATCACACTGTAGGCGGGCAAATTTTTGGGAAAACTGAATGAGAAATAAAATCTTGTTGGTATCTAAGCGGTTTTAGTAACCAGTGGCTATTCACGTGTTGTCAAATATCACTAGGTTTTGGATTGTTGAGAAAATAAGCAGCTCTTCGAGGTTTTTTTTTTTCGAAATTGCGTCCCTAGGAATTGTCAGACCTCAATTTTATCTTGATGTTAGTCGCAGTATTTGTTGCACTGGTTGGCATGGCATTCATAAACATCGTAAGTTCTTTCGGATAGCGTTATAAGCTTTATG